CAAAAGCAGTAGCTAAAGTGCAGCTATTAATCACCCTAGAAGCTGCCCTCTGAACAACAGAAACCTGCTTTTTAAAACACCATTTAAAAGGAGAAAAAAAAAGTGGTGAGGAATTGTTCTGCCTTTAATCCATTAAAGTTTGAGGCTGGTGAAAGAGTTTTCCAAAATCCTACTGGCTGTTGGCCAAGTTGGGATCAAAATAAACTGCACTGAAACAATCAAGAACTTGTATTAAGATTAAATTTAGTCTAAAGTTGCAGACAGCTCTGCAGGTGTCTGAACAAATGAGGATCAGTGAGGGAAAGAAACAGAAATGAGAGAATCAGAAAGCAGCGGCTGAGTTTTTTTGCTTCGGTTTGTGAATCTATCTCACTAGATGTTTCTTCACCAATAAGTAAGAATTGTGCTGAAAACTAGTATTAACACACAAGTTTGACAAGAAAGGAAAGTAACTCTTGATTATGTTTTTTTAAGTGGGGCTTATGTGACAGTTCATTGTGCTTCTAATGAAAAATAGCAATATTTTTGCTACACAGGTTTTCACCCTAAAATAATTTGAACTTCTTATAAGATAAATCAGAATTCAACTGCCTAGTTAAAGATGATTATTCCTAGCTAAATATGATTATTGCATTGTTTATGGTGCCTTGGGAGAGTCTAAAGTATTTTGTCCTGTATAGAGACATTTAAATGACTCTTTGATTTCTGATTTAATCTGGAAAGTATTGTTAGAAAATTGTTGTGCTATTGAGTAGCCACCAGATGGTAGCATGATAGAGATAAAGGTAACAAGTACCAGGGGTTTAGCTGTAAGTTAAAATCAGGGGAAAGCCAGTAATGAAAATAGGAAACTATTTTTATAGGTTGTTGCATGTGTTTGAAAAAACAAACTGCCGTACCCCAAATAAAAACTGTATAAGTTTTCTGAACAATAGACACTTCTTGTGTGTTGAGTCAGCATAAGGCAAAAATATGTAGCCAGAAACACCATTCTTCTTGCTTTTCAACTAGAAGGGTACCTTGAGGAGCACATCATCTGGAATCGGCATATGTTTGTTAGTATGGATGCTTTTCTTTAAAGTGGTGGAATCGTTAAAGAGAAAGCACCAACTTTCTTCAGGGCCCAGAAAGAGGGACTTACCTATATTTCATCTGGTGACATTGACCAACTTACCTGTTCTGGTTGCAGCTCATTGCCTTAGATGCAATAGGAATGCCTGAACTTCAGGGTACAGGCCATCAAAGAACCACCACCTGCACTCATGATAAACCAGGGGAGAAAAGTTGAGTGTGCTCAGAAACACCAAAGACTTCTTTGGATATGTCTGTCTTTGGCTGCTGCCAGAATTGGGTTACTGGCACAGGTGAGCTGCTCCAGCTCAGCAATTTTTCATTGCCCTCTTTCCTGAGGTTTTGAGACTCAGTGCTGCAATGTGCAGACTAATGAACCAAACTAAATAAAAGTTGTATGAATGCATAATAGTTAAAAAAAAAAAAATCAGAATACTGCTGTGAGAATATACACATTTTTCAATTACTTGCTTCCAGTTTGTAATTACCTGCCCTGTCCCATTTCTTTCTGTGAAAAAGTGCTTCAGGCATCCAAAGTGGCCCAGAGAGCTTCACAGGACCTGATCTAGACTTCATGAAAGAGATAGAGGAACTTGCAAGGGAATTTATTGAGACCACAGAGAAAACCACGGCTTTAGAAAAGCTATGGGAGGAAAACTCAAAGTTCTCAGGTAAGCTGTGATCTTTCTAATAATGAATTGCTTTGCCTATCGGGTAGTGATAACCATCAAACAAAGGAATGCTCTTATCTTAAAAATAAAACTAAAATTTTAACTGATCTTGAAAAAAGCCACTTTTATGATTACTATTACTGTGGCCATCATAAAATTATCAGAAAAACAGCTTTCTAGAACTGTGCTCTTGTTTTACTAGTTGATAGTTAACAAAATACTGTGAGGGAAAAGGTTTAAAGGTAAAGACTGATAATCTGAGTACATGATTACTTCGTCTAACATGCATTCAAAAGTAACATATCAGGATTTAAGTCTTTCTCCCCAGGTTTTTCTGTTATACTAGAGAGTATAGGGATGGAAAACCTCAGTAGCTCACACCTGGTAACCTTTAGGCAAACAAGTCACTCTTGCACTAAAAGAGTGAGACTGGAGACACCGAGTTCTGATGCTCCCACTCTGTTCCCACCCGTACTGCGCAGCCTGGCTGCTGTAGCAGGTGGGCATTTAAGACCTACTACCACCCTGCCTTTCTGGCTGAGTTTTCAAGCAGAAAGATTTAGGTGAAACAGTCATTTTCACGCCTGGCTGTCTGGGAGCTAGTACGTTCATCTAGTGTTGATGTGATGATTTTGCCTTACTGAAAAGTGAATGGTAAGCAATTTCTTTTAAATTGTTTTTGTGATAATAGTAAAAGTATTGGACGGCACAGAAAATCAAGTGGATCACTATCTTTCTTGGTTATTAGTTGTTTCACATGCCTTTACTCCTGTAGAAATGCCCTTTGTGTACTACTTGCTATTGCTTATAAAATTGATTCTTCTGAAGTTAATAATGCCTCTCTGTAAAGGAAAATATTTGATTTTACAGGGCTCCATAACATCACTGCTTTTCTTACTGTAAGTATTTTTACAGTCTATTTCTAAGTTAGTTCTGGATTTTGAGGCATCTTTATTATAATTGTTAGAAATTTGTATCCTGTTAAGTTTTAGGAAACTATATTTTAAAAAATTGCTATGCTGTTGAAGGAAAAAATGATATCTTGTAAATTTGATAGAGGTTCAGTGGTTTCTAGATAACTGATTTAAACCAGTCTAGGTGTATCAGGTTTGCATGGCAAGGTTTTGGTAGCAGGGGGGCTACAGGGGAGGCTTCTGTGAGAAGATGCTAGAAGCTTCCCCCATGTCCGGTAGAGCCAATGCCAGCTGGCTCCAAGACGGACCTGCTGCTGGCCAAGGCTGAGCCCATCAGCAACAGTGGTAGTGCCTCTGGGATAACGTATTTAAGAAGGGGGAAAAAAAAAAACCTGCACAACTGCAGCCAAAGAGAGGAGTGAGAATATGTGAGAGGCACAACCCTGCAGACACCAAGGTCAGTGAAGAAGGAGGGGGAGGAGGTGCCCCAGGTGCCAGAGCAGAGATTCCCCTGCAGCCCCTGGTGAAGACCATGGTGAGGCAGGCTGTCCCCCTGCAGCCCATGGAGGTCCACAGTGGAGCAGATACCCACCTGCAGCCCGTGGAGGACCCCACACTGGAACAGATGGATGCCCAAAGGAGGCTGTGACCCCATGGGAAGCCCACGCTGGAGCAGGTTTGCTGGCAGGGTTTGTGACCCTGCGGGGGACTCATGCTGGAGCAGTTCATGAAGAACTGCAGCCCGTGGGAAGGACTGCGTGTTGGAGCAGCTTGTGAAGAACTGCAGCCCATGGGAAGGACTCATGTTGCAGAAGTTCATGGAGGACTGTCTCCTGTGGGAGGGACCCCACGCTGGAGCAGGGGAAGAGTGTGAGGAGTCCTCCCCCTGAGGAGGAAGGAGCAGCAGAGACAATGTGTGATGAACTGACCGCAACCCCCATTCCCCGTCCCCCTGTGCCACTCGGGGGGTGGAGGTAGAGAAATTGGGAGTGAAGTTGAGCCTGGGAAGAAGGGAGGGGTAGGGGGAAGGTGTATTTAGGGTTTGTTCTTATTTCTCAGTACTCTAATCTGACTTTTGATTGGCAATAAATTAAATTAATTTCCCTGAGTCAAGTCTGTTTTGCCCATGACAGTAAATGGTGAGTGATCTCTCCCTGTCCTTATCTCGACCCACAAGCTTTTTTTCCTCTCCCTTGTCCAGCTGAGGAGGGGGAGTGATAGAACAGCTTGGTGGGCACCTGGCATCCAGCCAAGGTCAATCCACCACACTAGGCTGTTAGTAGCTGAAATTCACAGCTATTTTGAAGGCTGACTGTTCATTAGGAGCTATTTAAAAAGGTATCTGCCAGACCTTATGTAGTTGCATAAAACCATATTACAAAATGTCTTGCCAGAAACTCTTATCCTAATGTGTATTTATTATTAAAAACAAACCAAACCAGAAAACCAACCCAAAACTTAAAAAAAAAGGACTGCAGTGAGATTGAAAAGATGGGGCTCTTGCTTGGATGGGATTACTTTGAATTCAGATTTGTGATCCTGTAAACATGGCAAGTGGACTCAAGTGGGGGTGAAGGAAGACAGATTTGCAAGATGTAGCATAATTCCTTCCAGAATCAGTTTGGCAGTTTATGTGAAATGAGTTTGGTCTTTGTGCTGTCCCTAATGCATTAGTCTTTCACCCTTGCAATCTCAACAAAAAGAGGAATGCTGAATGGGCACAGTAGTGGATCTCCATTACTGTCAATTTTGTACCTTTCACAGATTACTAGTTTCACTTTAAATGTATTTTAAAATGCATTTTCTCAATATGTGATTGATTGTAACTACTACTTCATGAAACCTAGATTTCCAATTTGTATCTTGAGATTAGATGACATTTTTATAGTGATATTTTTAAATTGATCATGAGATACTTGATTAAAAGGAGCTGTATCAATAAGAAATTTCATTTCTGGAATGGAATATAAAATAGAAAGAATGTATGTATGAACATTAAGAAAATATTTAGTTGAAAGTAGCCTATCGCTATTAATAACAGAGCTTGTACACACAAGCTTCTTTTTGTATAAACCATGCTCATGTTACCATTATCCAAAAGAGCCCTAGTGAAACAATGTAGAGAAACAAAGACGGCATAATAAAAAAGTATGATAGATCCTATGTTTTGCATAGGCGTCTGATAGTGTAGTCCTTGTAAAAGAAGTGGTTTTACCCCAGTCCATCTTTAAAGAGCCATTCTTATCAACTATTATTTCACACCCCCACAAGGAGCTGTGACGCAAGGGTGGCATGTCCATGGTAGTCCCCTGGTCTTTATACCCTAGACTTAAATTCATTGCAGGGCTAAAGAGCTCCTTGTGTTTGAGATATCAAAGATGATCCTTCTCTTTAGGGTGAGTTATACTTCCTGGCAGAAAGAGATTGTTTATCTTTTCTCCCAGCTCCATTTTCCATCAGAGCAGAGAAAGAAATCTGAAACAAAGCTGCTATAAATTCAAAGTACCACCAAAATGATGTGGTGAATTACCAAAGCTAGAGGTATGTTTCCACTTGAAAAAAATATTTTAAGTGGTTTAAAATTTGAGAGGACAGGTGTAGGGGAAGTAAGAGGCACCTGTTATTTTTTTCTGTTAATGGAAATGTTGCATGTAAATGTGTTTTATTTGCATAAAGATGGATTTGAATGAAGTGGAGGAAATGATTTCTAGAGCAGAAAACCTGTACAAACAGCCCTATTTATGGAACCTTCTGCATTCACTCCCTCACCTTGAATTGAACAGCTTTTATACAGAAGATGAGTTAGCTGCTGTAGCATGGTTTCTAAAAGTTATTCAAAAGTAAGTACTTTTACATGCTTGAAAGTGCTCTGGTTTAATATTTTACCTGCAATTCTTGTTCTTCTCACTGGCTATTTAATAAAATAAGCATCTTTATCAGTGTAGGGAGGCTGAAATTTTCTGCTACTTACCAGATTCTGCTTTTATAGAGATATGGTAGGAGTTTTCACCCATTCTGATTCTTTCATAACTGTATTTTTTCATCTCTGTCCAGCTGAGCAGAGATTCACCAGGATTCTCCAAGAAGTAGCTTCATCGTAACAATGGCTGAAATTAGCCCATCACATAATATGGCTTTGAACTTTGTAATGTGCTTTGAGACTCTCTGAAAGACAGAATATTTACATATGAATATAAGAAAATCATAGTTTGGATTCTAATCAACTTAATACGTATGTAGCACTTGGTCAATATTGGGAAAATAACTCCATTTTGTTTCTCAAGCCTTGTGCTATCAAAATAGCTTTGGCTGTTCTCTTGCAAGAAATGAAGCGGTAAGAAAAACCCATGGAGATGTATTCTGAATATGAAAGTTTTCTGCCTCAGGTAAAGGACAGCTGGATTCAGAGAAAGACATGGTATCAAAAGCACAGACTAAGACAAGTATCTACAGGAATTTTCAGTAAGGGAATTGTTAGGAAAAAGTCAAGAATGTATTTGTCAGAGTAGGTAGTTGGTTGTAATAGGTAACTGTCTTTGTAGTCAGTTAACACCTTTATAAGGCTAGAGGAGGCCACCGAACCTGGCTGCCTGTGCAAGACTAGCCATGAACTTCACCAGTCTTACCCCATGGGGAGGCAGGGGCCCAAAGACTTTTAATGGGAAATGACTGTTCTGATTCTGTCACCCTTTAGCATCCTGCTGTCTTTTTCCTAATAAAAAAGATATGAAGGCATATTTTTTCTTTTTTTTGAAACCGGGAAATAACTCTCTCTTGATTACAATATGTGGATTGCAACTGTGTTGAGGCTTGATTTTCTTTTTTTTTTTCCCCCTTTATGCCCGAGTCATTTGTAACCTTATTCCAGCTTGTTCTCTGAACTATTAACATGCAAAGCTGTGTTAGCTGTGCTTGCAGTGCTTATATCCCAAAAGCAGAAGTCTTTTCTGAAAGGTTGGCAAACTCTGAGTGTTCCTGAGGTAAGACAGGAACTTGGTTGTAAGTTTCTGGTTATTGCATTCTTCATCAGCAGCAAGCGAAGATAGCAGTAACCACTGACTGCTGTGTGACTGCTGTGCTGGGTCAAGTTATTAATTTTTTAATATAACCTCAGCAGTGATTTCTCTACCCTAAGCCTATAGCATGGACAGAGTGAGAAGAGGGCAAAAGTAGGTGGTGTTCACGGTTATGGTGTTTGTCTTCCCACGTAACTGTTATGCATGCTGAGACAGAAGAGTAAAAGTGACAAAACTTGGGGGTTGAGATAAAGACAGTTTAATAGGTAAAGCAAAAGCCATGTGCGCAAGCAAAGCAAGGAATTCATTCACTACTTCCCATGGCCAGGCAGGTTTTCAGCCATCTCCAGGAAAGCAGGGATCCATCACATGTAACGGTTACATGGGAAGACAGATGCCATCACTCTGAACATGTCCCCCCCCCTTCCTTCTTCCCCCAGCTTTATCTGCTCAGCATGACGTCATATGGTGTGGAATATCCCTTGGGTCAGTTGGGGTCAGCTGCCCCAGCTGTGTCCCCTCCCAGCTTCTTGTGCACCCCCAGCCTCCTCGCTGGTGGGGTGGGGTGAGAAGCAGAAAAGGCCTTGACTCTGCAAGCACTGCTCAGCAGTAACTAAAACATCCCTGTGTTATCAATCAACACTGTTTTCAGCACAAATCCAAACCACAGTCCCATACTAGCTACTATGAAGAAAATTAACTCTATCCCAGCCAAAACCAGCACAACCTATTAAACTGTTTTTATTTTGATCCCTGAGTCTTCTTACCTTCCTTTTATTTTCTTCCTGTCCTGTGGGAGAAGGGAGTGAATGAGCAGCTGTGTAGGTGCTTGTCTGCCAGCTGGGGTCAACCCACAAGTGATTAATAAGAGCAGACTCAGGTGTTTACATTTGTGTTTTTGGTTTTTTTTAAGACTTTGGTACCTTTCAATGACCAAACTTGCCATAATTAATGCAATTTGGAAAGCAAACCACAAAACCCAATGCTCGCTTCTTGACTAGCTTCGTATTACTAACATACATTTCTAGAGGTCCTAGCTTAGGCAGAGTTTAGTCAGCAGAAAGAATCCAAAATTTGAAACTTCTCCCAGTTCCTGGGCTGTACCATCTTTGCTGTGTCTCTCAGAGGTACTTAACAGAAACTTTTCATGCCTACTTGGCAAAGTTAAACAGGGGTATTTTTGGGCTTTTTTGTTTTTTTTTCCTCCCCTTGTGTACGTTGGAAACTGCTGATCCACTCTAACAAAACTGGATTCTTATTTTCTTAATAACAAAGGAAATAACTGGTAAATTTGATGTAAACTTTAAGTAGTAAATTACAGCTACGTTAACAAAGAAGTTTGTTTCACAGCTAAAGTGACTGAGACTGGGAATTCTAAGAAATTCAATAGATATATTTTTGTCAAGGCATTCCCTGATGTGCTTTGTTTAATTTGTTTTGAAAACAAGTGTTCTGTCGCTTTAAAGGTTCTTTTTTTCTCTGCAGATTGGGTGGAAGTAAAATATAAGTATTCTGTGTCCATCCTGTCTTGTTGCGGGAATAACTGGGAGAACTCTTGTGGTGGTTTTACTCTCATTTTTGCTCTCACTTTTAGCTCTTTTTCTCTCATTCATTTTTTTTAAGAGGACATTGGTCCTCTTAGGAGACATTTCCTTAATGAAAATTGAATGAAACTCTAACTGTAAAATCTGAACTTGTGGGTTTTTTTCATGAAAAGTCAAATTTGACAAAGCATCAGTTTTTTCAACAATAAAGTATTTTAATATTCAATTGCTTGAACTCCATCTTTTTCCACCAAGCCCTTTCAGTTTTTCTGGGTGTACAGAGCGCTTGATTTTTATTTTATTTTTCACTTTCAGTACCTTAGCATCATTGAAGGATTTAACTATGATGCCATTGGGCAAAAGTTTCTATGAAGTGGTGAAAACAGCACTGAATTTAACTGCTACATCAGAACAGGACAGGAGCTTGGAAGGTAAGGAATTTGCTTCAGACTTTTTTTGAAGTACCTTGTAAGCATGCTGGGAATATGCGATAGCAGTAACTGTCTGAGCTTCCACTAAATTCCTAATGTAAAAGGTCTAAGAACTGAACTATATTGCTGTAGTGCTAGCCCATTTCTTTATTGATCTGTTTTTTAAATACTAATAATTAAATTTCATCAGACTGACAACTATTTGATAAACAAAGCACGTTGGTCTAATATATAGTGTTTAGAATGAACTTTCTGTGGTGAATTTTGGAGAGAGACTAAATTACTGCAAAGGATCATTTCTTCCATTTGGTAGAAGGATAGCCTCTTGTTTTGCACGTGCATGTTAAGTATTATGGCTGTTTTACTTTAAGCTTCTTTCTTCTGTTATCATAAATTCTGGTCTCAGCTGAAGGGCTATGTTTCCCATCTGCTGCTTGAGTATGGGAGATGAGTTTAATTGGAGAAGGTAGGCTAGCCCCAGGACAACTCCTCAAGAAAAGGCCAGGAACAAGTTTCATTGCCAAACTGGTGGCACACAGATTCTAGGTGCAGCTGTCTGCTCTGCATAGAAGGTCTGGCTAAGAATTATATGTAGTCTAAATCCCACTTCAGCTGTCAAAACCAAGACTGAAGTGGTACAAAGGTGATATGGTGGAGCCCTTGCACAGAGGGGTGAGCTTGAACTCCCTGGTTTTTTTTATATTCTCATGGTGCTTTCCCTCTCAGCAATGATTCATATCCAGCCCATACACACACATTCGCATGACCATATGCAGAATTAGATACACAGTTCAGAATGGCACCCTATTGGGTCTGCTGGCAATCACTGTGCAGGGGCATCACACCATTATTGTATCAGCTGTCAGAATACCATCAGATTAACTGACCTTATCATACTACTAAAGCAGTCATGGATTTTATCCTAGTGAAACTGGTGTTTAGGTGCACACATTACTTTTTTTTGTTTTTTTTTACAAAAAGTTGGAAACATGGTACTTGGATCTCATCAAGTATGTATCATCAAGAAACAACATGAACAAAAAGCAGGAATAAGGTAAACAGAAGTTTGTTTTTTTTTTTCTTTCAGGTTTTCAGTATAATCTTTCTCTTGGGGATGTTTTGTGGAATCCACATGCTGTGAGAGTAGAACTTGAATCCAGGTTTGGTTTTGATGATCTTCATGTTGAGAAGCTGCTAAGTTATACAGCACAATTAACAAAGGTAAACAACTTGAAAATTTTAGTGTCCCTCCCTTTCATCTTTGTTTTTATTTGTACCCTGAAGGGATTTTTCATGCCTTACGGAAGATACAGTCAAATCTTAGACTTGTGAAGCAGCTATAAGACTGCTAAATATCTTGGCTTCTTTTCCATCAAAATAAATGTAATTTAGCTTCAGCTGGAGTTTCTGCACATGAAGATGCTATCAACATCAGGTCTAGTTGTACACATTAATGAATTTATGTTTCTCTGAAGTCACCACTGGATACGGCAAAGTCCTGAGTTTATTATCCAATCCTGTAGAGAATTCTGGGATTTGCTCCACTAAGCTTTTAAACTAGAACCTGGATTTGAAGCTGCCTGGATTAATTTGTCAGGTAGCATTTTTCATCTGGTTTGCTGGACAACGAATGCCTGTCTCTTCTGTCTGTAAATTAAGGCACTTCAAGAGTATTTTTTTTCTCAGTTGTGTAGTCTTGATATGAATACACTTGACTGATGAGTTGTCTCAGTGGGGCTATTCAAATATACCATCGATGTGTCAAATTTTGAAGAAAATCTCTTTTCTCAGAGTGGGCTTTCTAACCTTTCTTCTAGAAAGCCAAAGTAATCTGTTCCGATAGTCCGGTTTGAACTGCAGAAAACTTGAAACATCTTTTGAATTTCTACTTAAGTCCACAGTTTTTGAATAGAACATGCTGGTATTTATCCGAAATCTGTTTGCTCTTTGCCAGGTACAGTCTAGAGTTGTACTCCAGAAGAGCTCATCTATAAAAATAGCTGATTTACACAAAGCAGTAAATTATAAAAAAACTTGACTATCAGTGATGGCCAGTTTGATCAACTGAACTGAATTTGACTGTAGCCTGTTAGCTATGATTGGCTGTGTAATCCCAGGCAGCTCACTTGCTAGCTATTTATAGATTAATATCTTGATATTGTGTACTTATGTTAGGGCATTGAAGACCCTCAAAAAGTATGAAAAGAAATATGGAGGCCTGGACAATGTCTGTTCTGAGCACTTCAATTCCGTATGTAATGCCCCAGCTCCTTTGGTGTCAAAAAATCTGTAAAACTTTTAACAAATTTTCTAGTCACAGTTGAAAGGAGTTAGGATGTAAAGTATCTCAGAAAGACATTAATAGGGAGAATTAAAATGTACTATATTATTTTTGTATGCTTTAATAAAATTTATATGATTGGGAATAATAAATCTTTCAACACAGAACTTAGAAGTCAGGCTATGAGGGAAAAATCTGGCCTCTTGGCCACGCTGCTGACACCTGCCAACTTCAATTTAAAACTAGTCTGCTGCATGTAATCATTGGTTGAGGTGTACCATTATACTGAATGCTTTTTACATCAGTAATTTTTGTACTTGTGAAGTTGCTTCAATACAATTCTTCTAGTGTAGGTGTACTGTATCATTGTCAAGTTAGTTCAGCATCAGCCTGAAAATGACTGTAGAAGGTGGTGTAGCTACACAGTGAAAATTCCTTGCATATACAAGTATCATCATTCTGCCTGGTGTATGAGAACCCTAATGGAGCCATTGGTATTTTATACCGCACTCTGCATGTGGAGCACTTTGAAGTATGTGCCCCAGAATATGAGGCTGGATTAAATGGGCTTTGTTTTCACTGAAGGAGGCTATGTGATACGTTTTTTTCACCAGATAAGTAAGTTGATAGCAGAGATAACACTCAGCGGCTCTCTTGAGATGCTCATCAATCTCCTATGTCCCTGCCAGATTCCCACAGGAGAGACACTGGACTGGTTTGTGTGCTCTGCTCTGTCCAGTGTGCCAGAAGATAAAACAAACAAAGAGAATAATGAAGAGGGCTGTGTTTCTGCATGGCGTGAGGCCAAAGTGTATCTTGTTCACGCTGTCAGCAAGCTCAGACTCTATGCACAGGTACACTTTTATTAATTAATAGATTGAATTCCTCATTTTTGCATGTAGGTTGTCAACAGTAACTCAGTTAAAAGATCCCAGTTAGTTATTAAACGTTATTGTCATGAACTTTTTCATCTTGCTAATAAGACAAAGTAATTCATATAAAGAATCGTTACAGTGGAAGTATAATCTATCACCATGTGTCCACTTAATCAGATTTTCTCATTAACTCAAATACAGATTTGAAATCTAATAGGGAATATAGTAAAATATACTGCACTGCAGAGGCCTGACAGAAGGAAAACCCATTTACTGTCCCATCTGAGCCTGAATTTTAGGCAAAACTGAAAGCAGGCTACAGGCCTCCACTAATATAGTATAAAATTCATTTATTTTTAATTCCCCTCCACTATCTCTGGCAATAGTGGCTGAAGCATGTTGAAGTGCATGAGAGTAAATCTCCAGTATAGCATCTTAAAATTCTGCTCTGGCAGAACAGCCTGGGATGCAGTCTCTATGATGACATATGTGTAGTTGCATAGAGAAAAGGATAAACCATTCAGATGTTTCCTAAGGAAAACACTTACCTAGCCACCTTAATGCTGGTGTTTGTTTTTCCACTGAAATATGTTTTTTTCCGATTAAAAAATATTAGCTGTGTATCAAGCTGCTCTGGAGATGTTTGCAGTATCCTCTATAGAAAGCAGGTAGAGTTTATCATGTATTTCCTCAAAAATGTAGCCTTTGATTTCTCTCTTGATACAGGTTTCACTGATGTACAATGACTTGAAGTAATAAGTTAATGTGATTGACAAAACTAATGCACTAATCCCTATTGTAGCTGTAGGAAAATCCAGTAATAATTTCAGCCATGATTTTTAAACTCTTCAGAAGAGCTGACATCCTTATGATGGCAACTTGAAGTACTGTAAGCTGTAGGCCACTGGGAATTCCCTTGGTGAACAGGACATGTTTTATAGTAAAAATCTGTTATAACCATTTAGCATTAAATAAACGTAATGGTGGAAAAAAATGTAATGGTGGAGGAAAGGAGAGCAGTCAGTAGGTTTGGCCAGGCCTTGGCATGCCTTATTCTAGGCTACACAATGGGACCATGCAGGCTCCTTCTCCATCTCTTTGTGGTTTTTTTTGGGGACCCCCAAAAATGTTGAGGCTGCTGTTTTCCATCATGTTGGTAGAGTAGGCAAAAGTCCTGTAAGGGAAAGCAAGCCTGAGTAATTGACTGTGAAGGTCTGCTTTTGGTTGGTTTTAGTCTCAGGCCATCTCTTTACCATTCCTGGGTCTTTGGGCAAGGACAGCATAGCATAGGATGTTAGTTCGCTGTATGATGTAGCATGTTATATTGCCAACTTGTAGGTCAGTACAAACTGTATTGAAAATCAACCTTTGTGAGGCCAGTCAATTTAGAGTCTAGACACATTGTTGGGGAGAAATTTTACTATCGCTGTTAATTGTCTTTGGTTTTTTTTAGACATGCAAATTCTGTGTCTTGTCTAAATAAGAAAGCTTTGATTCTCTAACAAAGTGTGCTCTGTTTTGCATTCAATCTGCTAGGTATTTGAGCAATGGTTCAGCGGCAGCCTCTCTCAGAAACTCCTTTTGGAACTTGAAAGAAGCATGGCTGATTTAATGTCTCAGTTTCTAGATGACAGGAAAGCCAGGAAACTTTTTTCAGAGATAAATACCCTGATCCAGCAATGGAATGAGAAATCGGATGCCTACTTTTCAGAAGGATATACTGCATCTCATGATCTGTAAGTTATACTTATCTTTCTGCAACTTGTGTTATAAAGTTCAGGTAAACTTGAATATTTATCTTCACATTACATTTAATAGATTTCTGATTTTTGTTTTGTGTTTTTATTTTTAATTCTGTAATTCAAAACCTCATATACAGTCAAATAATTGTGCTGATGCATACACATTCTGAAAAAGAAATTAAATCTGTCATTCAGAGTGTACTTACTTGGAGGTTCAGCAGAGGACCTGAGTACATGATCAGGACTCAGGAATCGGCAGCTGTGTGTAATTAAGCATTTTGAACTAGGACCTGAATTCTTTATCTTCTTCTGCACACAAACTCTAATTCCCACAAATAGTTGCTGTGACTTAGCATACATCCATGAGAAGCATTACTATAGGATCAATCTGCTCATGTACAGCAAGTCCAGTGCATCTGAAATGTTTTGGATTTTTGTTGTAGCAGTCATACTCACCTTAGTTTGTGCAGGAGATCTTGGAACAGAAGACTACTATGGAGAATAGAATTACGATGTAATGCTATGTCTTTATATATATGTAGTTTCCAATCTTATCTAGGGTACTCTGAGGCTAAGACTTCTTTTAATGTTTTTGAACTTTCAAGTTCCATGTTTGGCTTATCACTTCATGCAAATGTAAGCAGTTTATATGAATATATGGCTATAAGTTCTGTACTTATTCAGAATGATTTGTTTTGTTGAAGCAGTCCAAATCTTCCTGTACAGTAGAGTTATTCTTTTAGCAGCTCGTCACTAATCTAGTAGAAATATATTTTGTTGCAACTTTGGAAATGCCTTCAATTCCCATTTCAGGACAAGTGCAACTACAAGCTTGTAAAGATTGACTGTGCTTTAATTTCAGGTATTCTGATTCACAGCATATGTTTTAAAATAAAATCAAGACAATTGTTCTGGGTTATTTATGCAAAATAAAGTGTTTTAAGAGCTCTATTTCCCTCTCTATTAAAAAAAAAAAGGACTTATTATAAATGGTCTGGAATGCTCTACACAGGACTTAAAAGTTGTAGATACAGGGAGTTAATGTTTGTCAGAGTAGGCAGAGCCTCATAAAAGTCTATCATATAGTGCAAGAGCTTCTCTCTAAGTGCGCACCAGATGACTTGTATCCCTTCTGGGAGTTATAATGTTGGCCTCAATTTGTCATTGCTTGTAGTAGCTCTACTTGTTCATATTAAAAACTGTCCTTCATTGGAGGAGGTATGATCCATGCTGATCATCTGAGGATAAATCTGAAAGATACAAAGTGCTCTAATGCAGCACACCCCCAAGTGGGAAGTGGTCAGGCAATGTCTTTGGTTCTGGATTTGTTGCTGTTTTAATTAGCTTATAAAATGGACAGAGGCCTCTTTCCATTTCCAAACAAATCTGTTTGAACAGGGACACAAAAAAATGAAAAAATGTTTCCTAAGTAAATGAACAGGTATGCGATTATAAACAGGTGTATAACTCCTGTGTTTAACCTAACAGTCACTGGTGGAATAACAGCCACTACCTCCTTTTCCCACCCTTGAGTGTTCACAAGCATTTTTTTCAGTACAGTAGGAGGCTTGGTAGAAAATGAACTCTCTCATGGAAAACTTCTCAGTTTTTTGGGGTTTTTTTCTGCAAAGGGGAGGAAAGGAGATGATTTTGTGTGTAAATCTTCCCTAACATTAACAGGTTTGGCCTTCAGTTAAATTAGTCTGAAAAGAAGTAGACTTGTCCATGAAAACAAGTTGTACTTCTCACCTGGGAGACTGATCAGTGAATGCTGAGAGTCAGAGGGGTTCTTTTGTTTTGTTTTTGTGTTTTTTTTTTTTATTATTATTATTTTGTTGTTGTTTCCTTAGTTTGCCAAGGTTTTTGTAAAACCCATTAGCTACTGTTAAGAGAGAGACTGCAGTCAAATTGTTCAATAATTTAGTAGTACATTTTGGAATTTGATCCTTTTTTTTTTATAAAAGAAAACTGCTATCCTGCTGCTGTTGTAAGAAACTACAAAGTAGATGATATAGTGACTGACAACAAAAAAAATCCCATAATTTTTCAGCACCTTTACATTTTGTTTGTAGTACACAATGTTTCTGTGCTCTACCTCTTTTGATTGCAGAATCCTGCATCTGGAGAGAATGCAGTTCGTACTTCAGGGTGTACCTCAGTGGCCTGTTTCAAAGAGATTGCTTCTGGTAGATGGAGCTATAAGGAACGTAATGGCACAGTATTTATACTTCACTGAAGGTAAAGCTGCATGGTGGTTACTTGTTACAAGCACTCAAATGACTTCTCCAGAATAACATGGGAAATGGATGACATTCTACCTCTAGGAAGGCATTTGGGCTCTGTTATACATGTCACAGATATTTACAGCAGCTTTTGAATTCCTAAAATTTTGTTTCCCTTAGTGATGATAGAACACAGCATAATACCTGTTTTCACTTCTCGTATCAGGAATAAACAATTTCCTTAAGCATCTTATATGGTGTTGTATGCTCCTTTGACTGTTGTTTAAAGATCTAACTCAAGAAAAAGAGCCTGCTTAATAAAAATTAAAATTATCAATGCCTGAGAAGTTTGACACCATCAGTCATGTATGCGTGAACAATAAGTCTGGGTTTTAGATTTAGGTGCAGCTTGACTTTTCCGGCTGGTTATTGCAAGTGACGCAAAACACTGAGCTGGACATATGGATTTTCTGATCTCTTTAAGTAAGGATTTGATTGAGGGTTGTGAAGCACAGAGGCAGGGCGCTTCTTTTTCTGGGGGCTATGCTTTTGGACACAAATCTAGGCCGATGGTGAAGGAGGTGGAAGATGCCATTCCCAGAAGAGAGGGGACAGTACTGAATAACTCAGGCCAAGTGGAGGTGTATTTTACAAGAAGGTAGGGAACTGGATCTGTTTTCAGCAGGTTGACTGAATAAGATGAACTAGCTCCCATGAAGTTCTTGTAAATATGTCTGTTCAGCAATTGTCACTTTCAGATTTGGAATACATTTGTAGTATTATACGGTGTGCTAGGACTCGGATTGTGTGATGCTGACCACCATGATACTCAGGAGTTGGTTGGCAATATAATCATACTATAAGGTCCACACAGACCTGGATTTAAAAAAAGAAAGGGAAAAGGGACAAGGTATCTTTCTGTGAAACCTTTTAGTGGAAACCTGCAATACTGTAATGTGGGTATATATAGGAAGAACACTTGTATTACTCAGTTGTAACTAGGTATGTGAAAAACACTTTGGCCCTTTTGGGGACACGTCTTAAATTACTTAATATTTACATATGACTTTACAGTAAAGAATAAACAATATATTAAAAGTACAAATTTTGTCCCAGATGCCACTGAAATTGTGCAATTTTGTCCTTGATTTCTAGCTCGGATGTCTTCAGATTACAAATAAAAATCTGTTGTTTAAAGATCACTGTTGGAAATTAACAGGGACTGACACAAGTTTTGTGTATTTTAGTACTGTGCATCATTACTAGGAGTAAAGGTTGTGCAGGTCACATTACAGCATCAGTGATAACAGCAAAGCCCACTTTCCTTGTGTTATATTGTATGACATGTATGCTTCTTGCCTTTAATGGCTTTATAGCTGATTACTCTGGGAATTTGGCGATATGCAAAAAAAAAAGATATAATCCAACATACGCTTTAGCTGTATCAGCTAAACTAACTAAACTGTAAAATCTGTTTTGGCCTCTAAAAATTAACAAGGACTGAGTGCATAGCAGGGAGCAGATCTCATGAGAAAACAAGTACTCTTTCAACATAATTTTCCAAAGGCGCACTTTTAGGGTGTTTAATATTAAGTTTGCTGATTGTTTATCTTCTGAGTTGATAAGGTCATTGGACCAAAAGGTGTGATTTTTGTCTTGTGGGTTTTGTTTTATAGCACACGGCCACATGGAATCAGTACTGCTAGTTATATTATCAAATCCTGATTTACTTGCACACCCAAACTTGCAAGACATCCCTGAAACTTCAGGATAGTTTCTGTAATCTCCTTTTTAGGATGAGTTGATTTGAAGCATGCTACACAATTTTTCCTGTATACTGTATATCAGTATACCTTCCTTCATGATGGTGGAGTTACACTGATTTACTACAGCTGGGCATCTGCCCTCAGCTTGTGTGGTAAAATGCTCATCTCTGTCCATGCAAAGGAGTATGGAGGAACAGTGGCAAGTGGGACAACCCAAATGGTACCCTGTCCCGCATCCTCCAAGGCTGGGTCACATTACGTACTGAGGGGGTTAGTGCCTAGGGATATGGGACTCATTACGGGAAGCAGGGAAAGAACATTTTGGGATTGCACAAGACTTAGGAACCCAAGGCAGGGAGAGGAAGTGATCTAGGTGGCTTGGGGAGGAACAAGTATGGGAAAATAGAAATAAAGTGATGAAAGGGGCTCCTTGATCAATATGCTTGCCTGGCCATGCCCTGCACCTGACCATTGCAGGCTGTCCTGCCTTCTCACTAAACTCCATTTCTCTCATTTTTTTTTTTCCTGGGTGAGGAGTCTCTATTCTGTGTGCAAGTGTGTTTATGGGGGTCTGGGTGCAGCGACTGAGGTCAGACTGCAGGACATATAGGGGCCCATAGCAACAACTGAAAGGACTGGAGTGAGTGAAATCAGGTGCCAGAAAATGGGGTGGGACCTGTGTGTCTGTGGTGCCAGAAACTAGAATGAGTGCGGGTGGGCATATCAGTCTGTGATTGCTAGTGAATATCAGGCTGGGACAGCTGAAGGGTGGGTGAGGTGGCCTGGGAGCTGCAGAGGCATGCACTACTCTGACAGTGAGGAGTCGTCAGCTGTCGGAGGAACCAGGAGGCCCAGGCCAACACCAGAGAGACCATGGGGTCTGGGGGTTGACTAGAGACCTGTTTGTATACCTCCTATGTGTGAGGCAGCTGGGGAGAGCCGAGGGACCAGGACCAGCTACTAGATGGACTGAGTGTCCAAGAGCAGTTATTGCAGGGATCCACTCTGTGTGTGAGCAAGCACATCTGTACCAGAAGCCAGAGCAGGGCTGCAGCCTCGAGGGCTCGTATGCCCAGGTGCCAGCAACTGGGGAGGGAGACTGGGATCCAGGAGCAACTGCTGGGCAGACTGGGTGTCTGAGCCCAGCTGCTAGGGGGGATCCACACTGTGTGGGTGGGTGGGTGTGGGTGGGTATTCCCTCTAACAGACCTTCATCTTGATCAACCAGGGAGGGGAACAGGATGAGGCCGTTGGTGCTGTTTGTGTGTGTGTGGGTGCTGTGTGTGTTGATCTGTGTGGTCGGCCATGTGCATTTACTGTGTATGTGTTGGCTTGTGTGCCTACCTGCCCAGCCTTGCTGCTGGTTGGACCTGGGGGCATGGAGCTACAGCAGCCTCACCTCTGTAGGGCTACTGGATTTGGCAACTCCCTAACATGACCTGGTAACGTTTCTGTGGTTGTCTTTTATTTGAGAAGAGCGAGATTAGTTTTGCTTGGGAGCTTAAGGAATTAGGCCACCTTTCCGTATTTCAGAAGAATTTGCTGGCTAAATCAAGAGTTACATATGGAAAGAGTTCAAGTTTATTTACAGCATTTATAGCTAGAAGCCCACACAAGGCCTCATTTTCCATTCCTGAAAATCATGAAAGCTCACTGAAGTCATCGGAGCTACTCTGACATAACTGTGAAAGGGGATAGGGTCATGCTTTTGCTGGTATAAGAAGACTGGTCTCTTCTTTCTGCCTTGTCTTGATGAGCCTTTTTCAGTGGTGGTGCAGGAGGGGAGCAGTCTTTGCTCCGCAGAAGTGCAGAGTGTGACTGTGTATGTATTTTGTGCAAAATGATGGAGTGCTTTGGGCAGGCATGTCATCCAAACCTTTATGCCTCTGTAACTGCTGTATTTTTAAACCATATCATGTACAGTTTTCTTTCCCAGAAGGATGCTTCCTACTGTGCTGTCCCTGAATTACTGTGTGGGTTAAATATTTTCTTTATGGGGTGTGTGGGGGAAATGTCTTACAGAAGCTTTACGTAGCCTGGAAAAACTGATTCCTTTTGCCCAAAGAGATGGATTCATTCATCTAGACATCAGAAAGCTCTTTGTGGAGCTAAAACAGGTATGTTGTTATTTAATGTTTGTATATTAATTTTTATAAAGCTGCAGAGGATTATTTTGGGGGCTAAAAAGTACTTGCTAAGTAGAATATTTCACTTTTTATTCAGCAGCATTTTGGTCCAACTTTGTACTTTTTTGTCTTTTGACATTTCATTGTGAGAATTAATATTGAGTGTGAATTAAATCTGTTCCTTCACCCTGAGTTCATTTTTAAAGTGACGGTATATTTATTAAATTTTAGATGTTGATGAGCAACGCTTCCTATATATGCAATGATGTGCTTACAATGTTTGAGAAGACCCTGAGACTTCCACAGGGCTCAGATGACATTGACATTTTAGCAATATGCTCAAAGGTGACCTTCAAGCTAAGTAACCAGGTCCAGTCACTAAAGGAATCTGTAAGTATTTCTGAATTCTTTTCATGTTTAAAGCTTGCAATGCCTTACTTATTACTGTTACAAAATGAAATAAATTAGCAGGGATTGTAGCTTACTACTTAGTGTTTTCTATTAACAAGTGGATGGGTAACTGATTATTTAAACTGATTAAAATGTGCTTGGGGCAAGGCACAAGTGGTCCTGTGGAGTATTTTGAGTGGATGTGATATTTTAGACACGCTAAGTATCTGTGGCTTCCAGAAAAAAATGAGAAGGTTTGAAAGACTGCTCATTTAATCCATCTTAAGTTGGATTTCAGCATCATCAATATTACAAATCTAAGAAGCAGGGCCAAAGACTCAGGTGAGCTTCCCTTTTACTGGTTTCAAATATTGCTTTCTTCACTGTGAAAGGTCCTGCTTCTGCAGAAAGTAACTCAGGGACGACAGAGCCTGCCAGATTCAATAATGGATGATTATTTGGGATGGCAAGAAATAGAAGACCAGCTAACCAAAAATTATGCTTATTACTGTGAAATTAACCAACTGCTGAGCACAAAGGCACCATCTGAGGAGGATGTCCATTTCAGCTCTTGTCAGGAACAGCTGCTCTTCTCACTGTATGTATCTCGTACATCTTTTAATACCTAAAGATCCTGACTGGTACCAGCCTGGACTAAGGTATTATAACCAGTAACCGAATACGTAAAAAGGTTAAAACCCTGCTTTTTGCTTCTGATTACTACCCAGCATTAACAATTTGCTATAAGCACAAACAGGAAGGTAGAGGATGAGGTTTTTTTAGTAGTAGTAGTATTTGGGGGGGGGGGGTAGGGGTGGAAATAGGCTGAGGATAGGAAGGTATCTAGGATTCTACAAGCCTGTTCTCCCTTTTTATCTTCTCACTTCCAAGCATTTTCTGCTACTTCTCAGCCTGCTTCCTGGTACATACCTCTCTGGTACTGCGCTGCTCAGGATGCTTGGAAACTTGGACCTTAAAAGACTCCTGGGAGATGCAGGAAAACATTAAAGAGAGGGTAGTTAGAAAGTGCACTAGGAGGGGTATTGCAGCCTCAAGTTGCATTCTGAACACATCAAGTGGTCATCATTCCTCTATTTTGGCAGAAAATCCATTCATCTTTTTATTAAGTTGATTTGTCATTTGCAATGACTCAGTAATTCTACTGTTTTCAAGCTTTAATGGTGTTAAATCAGAGTATATTGGAGACAAATCCCAGTATCAATAAAGTGCTTTAAAATAGGCTAGCGTTTTATTATTCTTGCTTGGCAATATAAAGCATGAGCGTAATATGTTTAATGTGAAGTTGCATTTATACTGGACAGATGTCCTAGGTCACGGACTTAAACATGCGTAGAAGACAACTATCTATATTCCTTATGCATGTGAGAAACTTGACAGAAGAGTTTGCTCTTAAAGCAGTAAAACTATTATCTCTAAGCATTCAAGAATCTGTCAGAAATTCCACAAGCTTCATTGGCAGCAGGGATTAAATCCACAGAAACTAATAACATCTTAGACGTTAGAAAATTTAAGTCATTTTTCCTGTCTCTTTTGCTGCTGGTCAATGGTTGATTATCTTCCCTCCCTCCATGTTTCTAAATGGCTATGAAATCACCAGAAGGACTAGTTTTACATTTCCTTTTCTGAGCGTCAAAAACACTGATAGAGCTAAAAGGACTCTGGGAATAGAGGCTTGTATTTAAGTAACATTGAAGAGCAAGAAAAGCTCCGTGCTATTTTTACGCTAGGTGTTTTGTTGTTGTTTTGTTTGATTGTTTGGTCTTTTTCAGGGACAAAGCAATGATTTTTTTAATGCAAAGCTGTATTTCAGGATAAGAGGAAGCATTTCTCAATAACTGTTTTCAATTTCAAAATGCTACTTTTTGAACCAGAGCATTTTGTTGGGGGTTTCTTAAAAGGCTTTCTAGATTGATTTTTTTTTTTTTCTGCTCACAAACCTGCCTCTGTAGTAAAGTCTAGTTGTGCTTAGAGTGATGTAATAGCTATGCCACTGATTTCTTTAGCAAAGGACTCTGCTATTAGCCTGCCTGCCTCATTTCCTCCCTAAGCCAATAGGACTGTATGCATAAAGTAGCAACAGAATTTAGCTAGAGATTTACAGAGAAATGGTACGTGTTCACAAGGTAATTTGACTTTGAAAGAAATCACTGGTTTAATCATGGTAGCCTTGTTTTCTGTGTCATTTCAGAATTAATAATACACTTGAAGAAATTTTGTTTGCTTTTGAGGGAAACCCATACTGGAAGGATTTAACAACTTTTATCAGTTGGACATGTGAGATAGCTCAATACATGAATAAAGAAGCAGGCTCCACGGGAGGTCAGTCAGGTGAGGAAACAGCTACTGCACAGCACAGGCTTTATTCTGATGGTTCCCTGTCTGTTTTAAAGTATGGTATTCCCTGGAAAGGGAAAAGGTGATGATTTTTACATTTGTGAGCCTGTTTCTCTTTGTGTTTCCATCAGCCTTAGGATTCACCAGCTGACTGAATCATTAGCAAGGAAAACTTACAATATACAGGGCCTGAATCTGGTAAATAGCTGTGATTTTAGTGCCAGCTGGAAAATTTTTGGATTGTCCATTTCTATTGGGAAAACTCCAACTGGTTGAACCTGGTTTGAGACTCTACTTTTGCCACGGTATTCTGTCAGGAAGGCTTCTGAAGTCCAGGATATAAATGGGGGACCAGACTAGCTGGTCACCCAATAGAGGTATTTCTAGGCTTGTTTCATACTAGGCAAGGACTTTATGCTTGATTTCCTTCATCCCAGTTGTGCTGTGATATTCTGGATGTCCTGACCCATCTGCCGTTAACTTTCTTGGACTACACTAGTTTTTCATTATTTGAGGAAAACTTTGAAATATCTGAGATTTATGCTGAGGAATGGAAGACCTTCCATTTCAGAATTCTTTCTCATTAAATACTTGTGTTACTTTTAATGTTTCAGTGGAGCTATGAAGCAGGGCACCATGTGGCTGGTCCAAACAGCTCTGAAAATTGACCTTGCCCAATATCACCTATTTGTTCCCTTTAAGTATTCTCACCATGCTTCCAATTCTTCCATTTTTTGAGCACTTATATTTCCAGCTTCTGAAGGATTTAGGTTACTGATGGATTATTTTTTTTTTTTTTTAAAGCTAGTTCTTGGGATTTGTGAAAGATTTTGTTCTTGCTAAAGATCTGTTTTTCTGAATGCACTTTTTTTTTTCCCTCCCTCTGCTGTTTTTCTCTGTAGAGCTAATCAGAAATGTGTTGAATACCTCATCAGTAAGTGGGCAGCTATGGAATGTATGCAAAAATAAGCAGTATTTTTTAAATCGAAGAACTGTTAGTGAAATGAACTGTTCAAATGTGAATTGATTGTATAGGTTTTGTAACCTATTACAGTTCCAGATATTTCAGTTATCTGGGCAGTAATAGTGAAATTCACAGAACTGCTTTCTCTTTACTGAAATTCCAAGGAAAAAAAAAATATTAAAGTTCATTTCAGTGCTGAGTACACCAAGTGCACTCTGGTTTAATAAAACTAATCTTATTTGAACTAGTTCTGCAGTTCATGTATAATTCAAAAGGTATCTTCTATTTTTCCTTTTTCTGTAAGGAATTGTATTTGAATGTTTCTGTAAGGAATTCAGTACGGAAAGTACAGGTGTGCCTTATGTAGAGGTGATATTTATTATAATCGTTCAGTATAACTAACATCAAAAACTAATAAAAATTGCATATTTACTTCTTTTAAAATGTACATAATGTATTTCTTTTTCTGCACACATTCAGGTCCTAAATTTGGTAGGATTTATTCAGGTTTTTTCAGTGGGAGTTGATCAAGGTGTTCATAAATATGTTCATAAAAACTTTTTCTGATCTGTCTCTTGATGTTGAAATTTTTATTTTCTCTACAGATGGACTAGAAACATCTCTATGTTCTAAACAAAACCTCAGTTTGGAGACCATCCTAGGTCATTATTTAGCATTTCTGCAAGATTTACCAGATTATTCCTCGTTTATTCCCTGGGCACGGTAACGTTGAACTAGTTAATGTAATTTCTTTGTTTAATGGTTTTTCCAGAAATCCTTTACCGCACTTCCAATTTGGACTTTTGTAATTCCTGAACATAGTTACCCAGCCTCTTTTCATCAAATGACTGGTGTTTTTCAGTATTACTGGGAAGAAATAAAATCCTGCAAAGGAAGTTATGTCTTTGTGGCTGTCATTCAAAAGCATTAAAAAAGACATCTCCATCTCTGGTGTGTAATCAGTAGTAACCAAAGCGGTGGACTCCTGATGGCTTCTTGTCACTAAATTCCTTGCGTTATAGCTCTGCTAATGTCTAGGTGAACAGTGAAACAGAAGCCATTTAATCATCACTCTGTTTAAAAACAGAAAAAGATGTCCCTCATGGAACAACTTCAGACTAATTATTGAGTGCTGCCTCTGCTATTAAGTGCTATTAACTATTTACCATGCTATGTTGTCGATCACAGCTGTTAATAGATAAGAATACTTTCTAAATTACATTTCTGGACATTGAACTTTATTTTTCATTATGCTGTTATTTAGCTTTTTGCTAAATCAGTCCCTTGTTTAACCTATCAAATGGAAATAACCACTATCAATGCAATGAAAGACAAAGAATCAGAAGTTTATAAATGGCACAATTTGAATATTACTTCCACTGTTAGACAGGTCATGTCATGCTTTTATTCAAGCAGAACTTGAGAGACACTTTAGCAGCTTGATTAAAACGGGCTCTAGAAGCAAAGAACTCCTGGTTTGGGGTTTCAAAATCTTACATATTCTTGATACGTACAGTTAAAACAAAATGGAAGTTAAGGAGTAGAATGCAAATTGATATCTTGAATGTTCAGTCACTTTTGTGCTCTTTCCCAACTTTGTTCTAAAGATCAATGCAGACGCATTTGCTGGGGCAAGGATTTCTAGAGTATGCACTATTTTCTCTACACAGTAGTACTAATAAAATCACCTGACTTGTTTGGGTTTTCTTTGCTATACATGCAGAAGAATTTCTTTGACTTGAATAGGTCTAGGAAAGAGATTCTACATGAGGAGTGCTTTTTTCCCCAATGTTTGGCATCTTGGTTTCTCTTCCGTAGAAGCCATTCCAGGAATTGACACAGAAATTCCCTCACAAAGCTTTATAATGGTGTACGGTGTTCTACTCTTTTAACTATTAAAAGAAAACATATTTCAGGAGACGGTATTTTCAACTTGAGAACTTTGCATTGGAATGCTTCTTTTTCCATGCACCTCAATCTTGACCAGCCTTACAGAGCTAGTAAACATTTTTTCTTTTGATAAATAGTATTGACACAACGGAAACATTAGTTGGAGCATTCCAATTTTCACTGTGATTTCATGTTTTGAGTTTTTTTCTAGATATTAAAATAGCAGTGTTCAGCTATCAGTCGGTCAACTGGAATGTTTTGGCTTTCAATAATTATGATAAAACAAAAAAAATTCTTCAGAATTCATGGAAAATGAGAGGGTTTTATTGATTTTTATTGATAAGTTCCTTTCTATAAAATAATTAGACTGTGGAGCATAAAAGCTTTGCTCTGTTCAGCAGTTGAAAATGTGATGTACTTAAATTAAAGTTGTTTGACTATGTGGCTTACAAGCTTGATTATAATTACCGATAAATGCACACTTCTTTAGCCTAGCTGCCTACATTCAGGTTTTGATTTGAATGTGGCCGTGACTTTTCAGTGAGTTTTGTCACATTTTTGAAAACCAAAGTGATTGTCATTTGTGCTATTTCAGGTTTTGTGGTAATTAATTTGTGACTGCTATTTAAATGATATTTGAACTTTCTTTGAATTAAGTACATAAAATTATATTCTAAAATTATGAAATATATGTATTTAACCAATTCTTCTCTGCCTGCTAGGTCACTAACAAGAAAAAACTCATGCTTAATTTTTCAGGATTTTGACATCTTTCAAAGACTTTTTGAAGAGAGAAGAAAACTTATGGATTTCTAGTGAAAAGAAAATGGATAATCTTTTTCATCTTGTAGAAGTCATAGAAGAAATTATGATGCTTGGTTTCTCAGCTTCTTCAAACCAGTCTCTAATTGAAAACGTCTTGAATAATATAATTATATGGATGAAAAATTTTCCTGAGGGGAAGGAATCTGCCACCAATTTCTCACTTGCAGTTTCTGAACTCCATAATGAGCTACAAAAAAATTTCCAGCTTCTTCAGAGATTCTGGATGAAAGAGAAGACAGAAGTTTTCTGGCATATAGTGAAAATTTTATTCTATGAACTTGATTCTAGGCTCTCTCATTTGAGTCAAGTGGAAGAGGAGGAGGTATTGGAGACCTTATCTAGAATTATATTTTCCATTACAGAAAACAAAATCCATAAGAGAAGTATGTTATTACTCAAAAATATCCTGACTGACTGGCCAGAGTTAAATATTGCTGCTTTGAACCATCTAAAACACTTAAGTGAAAATTTCCTAAGGAATCTCTATGAGGTTGGATCATTGACTGATGATCATATCAATGTGTCTTTCAGCACAATTCATGGAGTGAGTAACGCCTCCTCTTTATTACTCTCAAATGCAACTTTTATATATAAAGTACAAGAATTAGGAGAAATTGTGCACAATTTCTTCAAAAACTTCCAAAAATTAAACAGTACTAGTGTGGCCTCACTTGTTCCAATACTTTTCTCTCTGTGTCAGAATGATGATCTGGTCTTAAATATTGAGAGCAATAGCACTCTGTTAACATTTCTTTATGAGACTTCAAAAGATATTTCATCTTTTCAAGTATGGCATGATTTCCAGGATAAGGATCAAGTTTTTGATTTACTGTCCGAAACTTTTGATATTCTCTGGAACTTCACCAGTAAGTCTCTCTGTGAAAAGTTACTAATCATTTACAACCACACAGAGTTTCAGGCCCAGTCTCTTGCACATAAAGGAAAAAAAGAGATGCAAGTTGTCTATAGCACTCTGAGCAGCCTTAAAACTTTGTTTATAGATGAAGAGCTCCGAACAGCTGCCTTTTGTTATTTGGAACAGTTTCTTGATGTCTCCCCAGAATGCCTGGTAAACAATGGGTGCATTAATTTTTATCTATCAAACATGACTTCTGTAGATTATTCAGCAGAGATTTACAACTTACTTCTGCTTCCATTGGACAGTGTTCTGTCTAATATAACAAACTTCAGAGATAAGGTAAGTGTGCCTTCTGCTTTGCACTGCACTTTTACATGGCTTCAAACCTGGACAGAGATTTTTGAAAAAGCATCCAAAATCTTAAATTTGAATTCAACCTTTTTTGTCTATCTAAGAAATGATTTGGCAAATCTCTCTGAAAGTCTTTTAAATGCAACTCATGACGAACTGTGCAATAATACGGCTATGGTTATTGCTGAAGCTACAACAGCAGCAATGAATCTATTAAAAATCATATTTGAAGGAGATGGTGATTTAAATGGCTTGAAAGATTTTGAAACTTTCCTTGCTAATCTTCAAAGTGTATTTAACAATGCAGTTCATATCACAAGCTCGCTTAAAGGTAACAGTTTAGAAAATGTTTTAGAAATGATGGGAGTCATGATAACTGAATTGCAGCAATCTATTCTGAAGGTTGTTAATGGAGAGTTTTTGAATTCTTGGCTTGATACCTTCATCTCAGGAGGATCTGAGGGAGAAGGTAGGGGTGCTGGTGTATTTTCCATTGGAAATTCCCTTTCTACTATTCTCAAGCTGTCCCAAAAGGAACTTGGAATTATTCTCACGGAGATAAAAGACACAACTGCCTTCTTTAAAAGTGTATCTCAAAGCAAATATATGGTTTGTATCAGCATTTTCCAGAATATTACGAAACTAATTTTGGACAATACTCTGAAAGACATAAGCCATTCACAAACAAATTTTTCATCTGATCTTAATTCCTTTCTAAACTTTTATAGTACAGTGGATGAAGTAGGGGATTGTAACAGATGGATACATGGATTAAGTAATCTTAGTGAAAAATACCAGTCACCTTCCCACCTTGAAAATGCAAAACATATTTTATTTCTGCTGAAATCTCTGGGAAACATTGATACAGGTGTTAAGCTAATGGACATGATGGACTTTGTTAATTTGATTTTTAATTTGATACTCCCTGAATGTTCCCTAACTGGTTCTGATGTGATTTGTGTAAATGTTTATTTCAATATTATAGCAAAAACTTTAAAATTTATTCTCCCTGAATTTTATGTAAAAGATGACATTAGCGTGCTTGAATTTATTTTTACAGTTTTAAATAACTCTGGAGGGCAAATACAAATGCTTGTCAATGATTTAGTGGGGCACTCATGGTATACATCAAATAAGACCCATTTTAATGAGTCAATCCACAGATTTAACAGAACTTCAAGGGTGTTCCTTAATCCTTCTCGCCATGTTCAGCTTTCATCAGTAGAATTTTTAGCAGAAATTCAAACTCTTCTGAAAAATAAAACCTTTGAAATCCAAGAAAACAGCAGCTCCTCTCATTTGGATATTGAGATTGAACCTTTCTTGCATGAGAAAACTACCAGTTTGTTGATGGAGTTCTTTCAATATGTGATTAGTAATCTTGACTCAAACTTGCAGAGCAAACACAAAACATTTCTCCAGAAACTGATAGAAACAGCAGCCCTGAATATTGAACTGGTAAGGAAGGCACTTAAAATTTTCAGGTCTCCTAGTTTTACTGACTTTCCATTAAGAGATGATAAAGAGTTTATAAAGCATATGATAGCCTTGGTGCAAAATATGAGGAACATGGATGTTGAGTTCTTGATAAGTCAATTCAAACAAGTCCAGAGGAGCCTAGATAATTTCTTTAAAAATATCAAACCTTTGTATGTTGAGAAGTCTGAGCTAGGAATGTTAACAGACTGGTGGGATGCATTTGAGAACAATTTGTGTAATTGGAACCTGACGGACTTATGGCAAATAACACGACTCTTTGAACAAGATGAGCTCTATGATGTAGAAGAGATATTCCATCTCCTCCTCAATGTCATCAGCCTTACAAAAAGATTAGCTCATGGAAACATCACACAAGCACTAACTGAAGTATATGCTTTCATACTGACTCAGGAAGCAAAAATGCCAATGTTTACTGAAGAGGCGTTCTCTAATCAAGTAGAAAGTCTTCTAATGTTACTGGAGACATTGACAGATATGTCTGACAAACGTGCAGAGGTCTCAGTTTGTTTTTCTGCAGCATTCTGCTGGACTCTCACAACAGCAACACCTCAGAGTGATCCCACTTTTAAACCTTGTGACTTTGTGCATAGCAATTCTACTCTTAGTTACAATGCAGCCGTCAAAGTCATTAAGGAGCTGAAACTCATCACTCTGGAGGACAGTTCCTCATGCACTATGGAAGGCTTTCAGGCAGATATGACTCGCAATCTGACTTGCTTTTTTCATCAGATCAAAGAATGGAACTCTATTCTTTTGAAGTTTTCTGAGCTCCACCATGTAAATAGCTCAGTTCTCAAAGAGTTGCTAGATTTTTGGAATGAGCTATCCCTCTACGTTGTGCCACTGCAGGTGAATAATACATACTCAATCAATTGTTCCTCCACACCGAAGAGACAAGTGGCTTTACAAATTGTAGAAACTCTGGGCAGTATGCCAGTGGCAGAAATGGAGATGGCCAAAGGTATTCTTGAACAGTTGGATGATCTTTATGGTGGTCTGAGTTGGAACAGACATTCAAGAACATCACTTATAAAGACTCTTCTTACTAATGTTAAGAATATGACGAGTGAAGTTTCTGGACTCCTGGATACAGCAGGTGTCCTTTCTTTTCTTTCTGTAATTCAGCCTTTAATGACTCTGTCTTCTGTTGGAAACCAGACATACTCAATGCTTATGATATTATCAGCTTTAAATGGAAACAGTAATGTATCTGATAACTTTGAGAACTTCTGGTTTCCTATAGTTACAAGCATAGAAGATTTATTGGTGAATTTTAATGTTAGACACTTACTTGCAGTGATAGACCAAGAGTTTCAATTACTAAGGTTAGCCACTGGACAGTCCTCTTCAATGGCTCTTGATGCTTTAATACAGCAGTTTAATACATCATCTGTAAATGCTATGTTAAGAAATGTTGAAGACATACAAGAAATTGTGAACAGCTTTCTATGTGAGTGTAACAATAAAAATTATTCTAAAGTAATGCATACTCTAATTCTCCTTATGGCTAATGAAAATTCATCAAATGACCTACTGCTGGTTGTCAAAGACACTATTGACTTTCTGGAACTATTCCAAAATAAGTCTAAGGAAGATCATACCCGTATGTTGTTTGTTGATGATCATCTTAGCAGAGAAAACTTGAATAATACTCATACTGCTAATTCAGTTTTGCTAAACAGTCTCCTTCATATAATTGCTGATCTTGCTCTTATAGAAGAAACTCTGCAGACAAACAATACTGAGCTTCAGATAGTTGACTTCATTGATTCATTTTTTGATAACTCACAATATAGAGAAGTTTCTACTTGGTCCCAAAACAGAACTCTGGAGATCATGCAAGAGATCTTGCAAATGATGTATCAGTCTACCACAGAACATGACAGGAACAAAATAACCTTCTTACTAAAGGATTTGCATAAGGATACAATGGCAGAAATGAGGTGAGCGCTTTCTAGGTACTGATTTTGACAGTGTGCTGGCAATGTCAGAAGGGTTCTTTGTAAACAGCTCGATCAAAACGCATATGAAGTTAATTACTGTTTCATTTCAGATTTGTGCCTTTGAGTAAAACAGTATTTTGTATCAGCTTATATTGTTCAGACCAGCTATATTTGGTATTACATTATATTGTATGGACCAGGTTACTGAAGTGTTTAGTCTTCTATATTGATACTCAAGGTGCTTTCTTTGGAATTATTGTAGAACCAAATATTTGAAGATACTAATGTTTTAAAATCCTTGCAGATCTGAACACTGAACCCACAATTATTGGTGGATAACAGTCATTTTGGCTATGGAGCTAAATATTACGGAATGCTTGGGACTAATGTTTTGTGGTGGTGTTTTTTTTTTTTCTTTCTGTATTCAAATGTAGATATACTGTATTTGAAATGTCTTCTACTTAAATTTGCTGATGACTTATGCAAACAAGATGACCCTTTTGGGGTTACAGTTATAGTGTTAAGTTGTTCAGTTTAACAGTTTCTGAAGGAATCTTGAGCCCAAGATCATTTTTGCCAAATTACTCAAATGTAACCCAGCAGCAGAGGGAACTCTGCTTCAGAAAAATGTTTACTGACAACTTATTTAATAAAAGTACTGCTAGACTAGAACTGCTGCATTTAAGTAATACTCACTGAATTAATCCTACAAGATGGTTGCTCCAAACAGCTCTAGGGTGTCTTGCTGGTGGAGCTACCGATCCTACTGGCATAGACCAGCTGAGAAATGACATACTGAAGCTGATGCATGACTCTGATGTGGTATTTAGACCTTTATGATTAATTTTATGCAAATATGTCAAATCAGTGGTCAGCAGGGCCAGATATTAGCCAAATCTGTTGAAAAATCAAAAGCAAATACTAGAAAAGTGGTTTATTTTCCCCAAATGCTGATTATTGGAGATGTTGAGTATTCTGCTCTTTGCTATCAAGTCAGTATATGCTGTGGGCTCTCAGTATTTCTGAAACCATTATGATTTTGCTTATTTTGCTAAGGTAATTTCTAGCACTCCTAAGATCTTAAGAAAGCTAATGACTTGCTACCTTGATGAAAACCTGTTTGGTTTGTGTTTTTTTTTTTTTTGTGTTGTTTTTGTTTTTGTTTTTTTTTTGTTGTTTGTTTGTTTGTTTGTTTTTTCCTCCCCTCACATGGAAGTATTATGTTCTGATTTAGCAATAGTTCAAACAAATGTAATAACTGTTAATATTGAAATCCTTATATGGTCCCTTGAAGATTGCAACCGTACATAGTCACTTGTTGAAAATTTTCCGTGGTACCCTTGTTATTAAAATAATGCTTTCTTATTAATATTTCTACAGAGCATCTAAAATCTGCAGGATTCTTCAGAAACATTTGTACCCTGGTAGTGTCCTACTATTGCAGGAGTTGCAGTTTACCATTTTGAATATTCTTAAAATTTTTTCAGGTTGGTCACCATACGTGTTAGTACTATAATGTTAAGGCTTTTACTCTGAGCAATGTTTTGTAAAAATAAGTTAATTTGGGTGATGCCAAGCAAGGCAAGCGTACTGATGCCTGGAAATTAAACCAACAGAGGCACAGGAAAAATTTTGATGCGGATCACATAACAGGATGATTTCCTTCTGGAGTGGTCATGTTGATTTAAAATCTCAGTGGAAGCAGGAGGTCTTGCAACTCCTCTTCTCTCATGGTTAGCTGTGTGCTCTTT